TCTCATCCATGTTGGTAAAAAGCCTGGCAGCTGGGCCCTCCCCCTTCACCACGAGTTCGGACTAAGACACCAGATTTTCAGCTAAATAACTGACGATAGGGTGATGAGACAGTGGCACAGGTTGCCCAGAGCAGCTGTGGCTGCCCCCTCCCTGGCAGTGCTCAAGGCCAGGTTGGATGGGGCTGGGAGCAACCTGGTCTAGTGGAAGGTGTCCCTGCCCACGGCACTGGAGTTGGACTAGATGGTCTTTAAGGTGCCTTCCAACCCAAACCATTCTGTGATCAAGGTATCTCCCAAGCTTTGTTCCATCGCCTCTGTGAGGAGCAGTCCCTGGCAAAATGTGGTAAGGCCAGACCGCCCCAGTTAATGCATATTCCAAAGAGCTTTGTGATGCCTCCACCCGGAGGGAGACAACCAGAACATCCGACAGCTAGAAGCCCTCCTGCTGCCCAAATCAGAACAAGCATGGCACGACCATGACAACTCACACAGATGTCGTGGCCAGCTGTGTGAGGGAGCCACAGGCATCAAGGGGCCCAGCATTTGTCAGGCCTGCAGCACAGCTGCTGTCTGGGGCTGGCTACAGAACGTGCTGCACAGCGGCTGCTAGCAGGAAGAACAGCATAAAAAGGGAGTTGTCCCTTAACACTTTATTACAGATTGAGGTTTTGGGGTTGGTTTCTTTCTTTTCCTGGCGGGTTACCTTAGCTGGGCTTGTGCCTTCAGCTGACGCAGCATTTAAGACCCCAAACAAGATCTTGCCATAAGCCTGGCCTCACTCGGGACTGCGTGACTGGATTGATTCAGCCCTGTTCCACATCACCTACCTGTAGCAGCTCTTTCGCAGAACCTCTCTTTTCCACATCCATTTCAAGACAGCGATTTAAGAAGTCTCGGAATATGGGTGAAAGCTTTTCTGGATTCTGCAGTTCTGGAGTCCCGTTAGTGGCAATGAGATACAGGGCCTAAAGCAAAAACAAGCACCAAAGAAACAGGAGGTTATGAAGGTTAGATTCCGTCTCTGGATTAGGGACACTCATTTCTCCTCTCCCTCCTCCTAGTTCAATGGGGAGGAAAAAACCCCCACCTTATCAGGGTGACTAATCAATGCTTAAGTTTCAGCAAACAGAATAGCTGCCAGCCCTGTTTTCATGTGGATGGGATCCAATCCTTTATTGTTTTACCCTCGTAATCTGGGTTTGGATCCTGCAGCCCTCTCAGGGGATTAGGAGGACAAAAACAACATTCCAGACCGTATTTACATACGGAAGTTAACTGGCATGACTCTACCAGTGCTAGACTCCTGCAATAACTATATCTTCATGGGAAGGTACCCCTGAATAAATACGAGATTTTCTTCTGTTAGTAATTTGCCTGAGTGCACAAGGCCTAAAAAGTCAATACTCTGAAGATGCAGTTGGCTTCTTAAAAAGCCAGCAGACCCTCGAGCAGCCTTTAACATCCTGCAGAAACAAGCAGTTTTGCTACTGCTTGGGGATGAACCATTCACATACACACCCCCTCTGAAAATCAAGGAACTCGAGAATTCACCCATTTCATGCAAGAAACTTCCTGGGTGGATTTTCAAAGGAAACGGAAATCTGTCAGAGACTTGTTAATATGCAGGCCCTTTGAGCACAGGGCTCAGCACATCCCATGGGAGCAGCCTGATAGCCTGGGAATTGGCACAAGTTGAGCTAAATGAGGTCAAAGTACTGTTACTTAACCACCCTCGTTTACCTCAACACCCAGTTTCTTTCCTTTCACTCTTCTTAGCCGCTACTCTTCTCTCCCAAAAATCACTTCCAGCGCAAGAGACGGAGACAAAAGTTAAACAGAATTTTCCTAGATCCCATCACCCCGTGTAGCTGAGGGAGAAGCCATAAAGCTGGCTTATATCAAGTGCAGTGACATCCCTACATACTGACAGTATCTCCCTTTTCATTAAAAACTAAACAAGGGAAAGACATCAGGAGGCTTAAGCTCTGTGTAAAGACTTTTTAAGCTTGTAGTTTTATTTGGAGCATGCAAGAAGGAACAATCCACCAGTAGGAAAAAGCTCCATTTATAGCATAGCAATGTGTCGTATTTTTGAACTTAAGGAGAACTCTTCCCCACTCACAGGGCACGAGGATTCAAGGAGTCAGTTGCTTTGGTGCCATCAGGTACTCCTTCTGCCTCTATCAGCATCTCCAGAAAGTGGGAAAAGACGAGGGTGCATGATCTACCTCACCAGAGCTGACCAGAGGGTCTGCAACAGGAAGAACCCACATCTCTGCTACCCAGAGCAAACTATGGCTTTTATCTAAAACTGTCTCAGCCTTCTCACTAGGACACCTAAGGAGATAAGGGGCTGCAGGTCACACCGGAGGATTCACCTGCCTCCTCTAGAGCCTGGTTTCACCAGAAGGCTTAGCAAAGACCCGAGGGCAAAAGATACTCGCGTACTCTCAGGGGGTTCTCATTGAGGTAGGGGGGCTCTCCTTCGATCATCTCGATGGCCATTATCCCCAGCGACCAGATGTCCACTTTGGGCCCGTACGCCTTCCGCGTCACCACTTCAGGTGCCATCCAGTACGGGGTCCCCACCATGGTGCTGCGTTTGCTCTGCTCAGGAGTGATCTGGGCACAGAAGCCGAAGTCAGCTGGAAAAATTAAAGAGAGGGAGGGGAAGAAACAGACTTAGACATCAGCAAGTTTCTCCAAAATCAACACTGACCGATGCCAGAGCTGCAGCACCCATTATGCTGCAGCGTCCGGTGCGTTGCTGCTGCAACTGTGAGAGGAGGGGTGGGTTTGTGGCTGAGGGGTGGGTTTGTGGCTAACACAGAAGGCAGTGTTGAGAGAGAAGTTTCTCAGTCTGACTCACTGAAGCCATGAGGGTTACAGAGCTGCTGACCTGTCTCCGTGAACGATGGGGATCAGTAAATAACCGTATATGGATGCTGAGACACTTGACTGTGTTTGCAGCGCTATGCAGCTCTAACACACTATGTAATATATGGTTTAAAGACTGTTCCTGGGTATGTGAAAACAGAAATTAATGCACAATCTGATCTAGATACGCCCCACATACTGTAGTGTCTGGTAATACTTTCAGTCCCAGAGATATTACTTGCCCAGTAGGTATATAAACTCTCAAACAGGATTTGCTTTACAGAGCAAACAGTGTTCAGAATAAATTTAAAGTACCTCAATTTATATTGATTATTTTCTTCAAATAGGCAGAAAGATGGAGCCTTCACACAAAGATTGCTGGGTCCTATGTCTTATTTGTATTTGACTTACCAAAAGAAAACGAATTCTGTTCTTGTGAGCCCAGCAGAATCAACACAGCAAGACGCGCTGCCCATCCTGACCCCCTATGGCACCACGGGTCTAATTTTAGGCAGAATGATGAAATTAAACTGATCCCTGACTGAGTTTTCATCAAGGGTAACAACCAGGAAAGGTACATATGGTTCATAAACAGAGCAAACTTCCAGCAGAGGCAATAAGCAGCTCAGGTCCAGAAGGTTACCGCATCATATCCACAGGGACTTCTCTAACTTTAAACTACAGCCCGGTACCTGCATACTGTGCTCAAAGACGTTATTCCATAAGAACAGAGCACTTTGGCCCTGAGCAGTTTTTCATCACTAACACTCCAGAGATTTGACCGTACCAAAGTACAGCTTTACTCTAAAAAGCAATTATGTGCAAAAAAACCCCCACCTTCTTACTCAGCATATCTGCACTGTGTGAATTTTGAGTCATATCTGCTGTCACTGACGACAAAAATAGATTTATTTATGCCTGTTGGGTGCTAGCCAACAGAACCAAGAGGGAGAGAAAGGAAGCACAATTCTGTTAAAGCTATAGGTGGAAGATAATCATTCACTAGGTTTCCAGACTGATTTCTACAGGGACAATGACAACCACAACAGCTACCTTAGCACCCGAGGGGCAGAACAGTCTCAAGGTCTTCATTCTTGGTGATAACACAAGGAATAAACTATAGTTAAGAGTCCAGTCTGGGTTGGCATTTTAAGATTAAATGTTTTCTAGTTACACAGTTTTCAATTCTCCCTCCACTCCCCCTGCCCCCCAAGGACCTGCAGTATTTTCCAGACTGAAGAGATCACTCACAAATAAAATCTTCTGGCCCTACACCTTCAAACCCAGCTTTCTAGACTGAAGTAGCATTCAAATACTATTATTTGAGTCCACGAAAACAGATGGCCCAAAGCTAAACAAACCCCAATTCCCACTTTGAGTCTGGTATCAGTTCACAAGGATTCAGGCTTGCCAATCTCTGTTAAAACTAATGCCATGAAAATACCTACAGGAGCATTTCTACAGCCTCTTCATCGCCACAGCATCAAGCACCTCAAACACCCATCTGCCTACTAGGCCTGGCCCAGAGCAGATAACAGGCCTGGGTTGGTAACTCAAGTCATCACCAGCAATGTTCCCCACATACTTAGTTTGACAGAGCCATCCATTCCCAGCAGGATGTTGTCACTCTTGATGTCTCTGTGAATAACTTGGTTTGAATGGAGGAATTCCAGAGCTTGGAGACACTGGGGGGGGAAAAAAGTAATAATTGAGATATTCTTACTGTGCATGAAATTATTCACCAGTCACAATTAGCCAATTAACGGACTCTTAACAACGTGCATTTTGAGTAGCAAGGCCTCAGTGGCTTAGAGTCTTTCACATTCAGTATGTGCAGAGCTACAGAGAGATATGCCACTGGGATCAGCAGGTCCTAGGAGGACAACTTAGTCTCAAAAGACCTGGAGAACAGGCATAACCAAGGGGTTTCCAACTCCATTTTGCACCCCAGTCCACCCCTCTAGGGTGAAACATATTAGGCTTGCATTAGGATTGTGTGCTGCAACCTCCCAGATGAAATCCAGCCTCTGAAAGAACGACTGTTGCATTACAGAAGCTGGAGACAGTGGAGGCTGTGGAAAGCCCGTGTCCCCTTCCCAATCACAGCTCCCTCCAGGCGCGAGTGCCGCTTTACCTCTCGGCACACAGCTGCGATTTGTCCTTCGTCCATGCAGGTCTCGGTCACAACGTCTGTTAGGGAGCCTCCTGCCAGGTACTCCATGACCACCCAGAGCTCTTCTCCTACAAGGTAACTGAAGAGCCAAAACCAGACTTTAAAACCAGCAAGTACGAGCATGCCACCGCTCACCTAGCCGGAACGCACTGGGTCTTAAAGCTGTCTCAGCGGTGCAGAGAAGGCATGAGGCTTGAGCAGCATCTTTAGCAGTACTGGGGCACCAGGTATTCGTGGTACTTCCCGTACACACGAGGATCTGATCACAGCTTGGATGAGCAGAGAGCAGGGTGAGCGCAGAAAGTCGAGGAGAGAGGTCATGGGAGCGCAGGCTACCAGCTTCCCGGCCATAAAGGCAAGGCTGAATTTTGCTGCCGTGGAAAGGGCCCAGCCTAAGATGGAGACCTGACCTTACAACTCCTGCCACTGCTGGGAGAGAAGGGGATGAGCTACTAGTCGAGGATGGAGTCCAAGAGGTGGCTGGGGGTGGCTTCATTACTACTGACATCCTTCTGGCCTAAGCAACTGCCTGCTTTGCCTAGGCCCAGGGGCAATCCTGGTGGACAAAATGGATGGCTGCCCACAAACAACCAAGAAAGAACGCTTTTTTTTTAAGCATCACGCATTTGAAGGATCACCTCAATCTTTTTTATGCTACCCAACTAGTTTGGGATTTTGTCTGAAAAATTCAGAACCATTCATAAGGGCAAATGGGAACATCTTGATGGATGCAATAGCAATTCTAAAGACTTAAAACAAAAAAAAAAAAGGAAAGCCAAAAGGGCAGGTCTTGTCCAAAAAGGCCTGTAGGAAGATGGGGAGGCAACAGCTGAGGCAAGAGCGAGTTTTCTCAGCAGTTTGGGATATTCTTCTCTGCTGGGAGTGTGTGTGCTCATGTCTAAAAGTAGAAGACCTGGATGGACACTTCAGCATTAACTCATTTTAAGAAAACCAAACAAACCCAAACCACCAACCACTTCTGCCTTTTTGGGGCCATCTGGAAAAACATCAACGCAACCTTCCATGACAGATACTTCAGGATGACACATTCCTGAAGGAAGGAATCACCAGCTTGAAAACCCACCTTCTCAGCCTATCCTCCCATTTTTCAAGTGAGTGGACAGATGAGTCAAGAGAGAGGGCTGAAAATCTAATTAAAAGCTTCTGCTGGCATTAGAGTTCATCAAGCAGACATCTGCCTTGCTCTGAAACACGGATCCTACTGAAGAGTGAATAGTGTATTTGCTAGGAACCAGAGGCAAAAAAAGCAGGACAGGTTCTAGTGAACAGAAAGCAACAGTGAAGCAGAAAGAAGTTATTAAGACCAACTTGGCATGGAAAGTGGACAGACATGCATGAGACATCACAGGAGTGGGCAGAGGGTGGGCTTTGACTCCAAAAGGACACACTGACAACACCCGAGCTAATGAAAAAACTCACCCAAAATAAGAACTGTAGCCTGAGCTGTGTGACAGAAGTGTTAGAGCTATGGAGAGCTTCTAACACTGAAGACAAAGATGGTTTCTTGGTTTGGCAATGCTGAAGACTATGCAGGGAGGTAGGAGTCTGGAGTTTCTTTCAGGATACAGAGCCCAAGGGCACAGGGCTCTATGCTCCCAGAGCAGACAGGTCTCCAGCTCAACTACAGAACAGAAGCTGATGCACTGGCATTTTTTTCCCTGGCACCACAGACCCCAGCAAAAGCAGTACCACCTGCAGAGCAGCCCCTTGGAGTGAAAGAGGAGCCGCAGAATTGCTTTCAGAGGCACTCCTGCCAACTCTGTGGGTCATCTACCTTCTAACGGTCTCTGAATGCTACTCCAGTCATACCCTTCCTCCCTGCCACTATGCTGTTGCGACTTCTTCATGACTTCTGCCAAACCAGGCTCTCTCCAGATTTTATCAGCACCCTCTCAACAAATCAGTCACCCCAGACATCCAACGCTTCCCTTTGTTGCCAATACCACCCTCTGCAGCCCAAATCCACTCGACTCTAAGGATGGGGCAGAACGGGCTCCACCGCTCCTGTGTGACAACCTCAGGTTGCACGTGCTGGGAGCAAGCTGGTACCTCTCTGCAGCCAAAAGGGATGGAGCGAGCCAAGATCCACGCTGTGAACCGAAGCTGGGCCGTGAGCAGCCAAAGGCACGTGCCAAGTCCCCTCAATAATTGGTAGATCTGACCTAACACGCCGGGAGGTGGAATTAACGGTGGCTCCCTGCCAGCGGCCGACGAGTGAAATGTCATTTCAGAAGACTGGGTGGTACCGTCTCGGGGAGCTTTTCGCTCTCTCGGCGCAGCAGAGGCCAGTTTTAGTCACCGAGCTGCCTACTGCAGGCATGACTCAAAACCCCTCTCTCAGCAGTTCCGGAGACACCATCAGGAAGTCCATACACCTACACGCTGCTCTACAGGTGACGTCAGGCATAGCTTGGTGTCGCACCTTGTGACCCACAGTCACGTTCCAAACCCACGCTGGCAGTAAAAAAAAAAGCTGATGAAAGTCTTTGAGGAAGGAGGAGGTGGTCTACAGCTTTCTCTTCATCCACCTGCAAGAGCAGGTAACGTCTGCTCCTGTAAGGTGTCCCTCAGCTTCCACTTATGATACCTTTGGAAGGTGTCCACCAAGCCCCTCCTATCACATGCACGCACCAGTCAGTCATAGTCCTTTTTTATCAATAAACTTTATAAAATGTGGGTTGGCCCAGAAGAGCAAGATCATTCGTCGCAGATTTCTGCACCAGCAACATGCCTCCAACATGCAAGCATGAGGTCAGTTGGGAAAAAAAAATCAGTGTCTCCTTGTGGCATGACTGTCATACATCTTCAGCTTTATTCATTGACCTTCCAGCCCTAGTTGAGTTTGGGGTTGGGGTGAGGGTAACAGTAGCTACCACTTAAAGTGAGGATTTGTGGGGTTTATTAGGTTAAGGAGAGTTCTTCAGAAAGAAAGAATCCAAAGGGGAGGAGTTTGCTTTGCCTAACACTGGGCATCTGATGCTCGAGTTTAGAAGCAAGACTCTGAGGGCTCTTTCACACAGTAGAAAGAAACTGGCACCTCCAGAAGGCAACTCAGCACAAGTGGCTGCTTCTCTGCACAGGATAACTAGCGTCACTGTCTTCAGAGCCAGATGCTTCTATAAATCAGCTCCTAAGCAGTGCTGAATTAGGCCATGTCACTCTCTCAAACGTCACAGCACAGCTTCATGCCACACTGGTCACTTGCACGGCAGCAGAAAAAGCTGTGTGAAGCGTAAATGCACTATTTGCACAGTGATGTCTGGGGGGGGGGACACGACAGTAAACCAGCCAGACCCCTGAACCACGAGCGAGGAGGCCATGGAGGTCAGAGAGGATAAAGCATACACTTTCCTTTTTAAAAATCCTCCATCTAGCCAGGAAACCCTTGCATAAGGGCAGGAGCTAAGGCACAGAGAAGCGAGAGAGCTGGTTTATACCAATGACTATCTTGCAGCTCCCGTTAGGGACTCAGAAAGAGAGACACGGTCAGAACTGCAAAAGAAACCAGGTCCCACAGTGGCAAGCTCATCCTTCCTCGCATTTGCTTCTGTGACAGCAGTAGGCAGGAGCCAGCAAGCGGCGTTCAAATATCAGTTTAATTCAGCACTCGGGAAGCAAACAGGCGCGTTAGGCCGGGCAGCAGGGACGCAGCTCCCCAGCAACAGGATCCTGCAGTTGCAAAGCTGAAGCGGCATAATAGGCACAAGAACACACTCCCCCGCTCATCCCCGTTGCTGCTCTGTCCATTTGCGGCACTCAAACAAAAGCTAATCCCCCTGAAAAGATTAGCGAGAGAAAGTGGAGGACAAAAGCAGCAGCTTTTGTCGCTGGAAGTTCGAACAAGACGGCAGGACACACAGCTACCCTACAGCTGGGATGTGCTGGCTAGACAAGGCAAGCGCATGTAGCTCAGCGACGCTCCCTCTAACGAGAACAACAGGTCTCTCAAACAGTTTGGCCAAAACAAAGCCTCTAATCAGCCAGGAGAAATAAACATTTTCAGCCCAGATGCAACTCTTAACTCTTCTTTACTACTTGTTTCATTTTACACAGGTAATATAGCCTGCTGCTCTCTGTAAGGACAGGGCATCTGCCCAGCATCTCTTCCCTGTGCCCTTCCACAAAACCTCAGGAGAAGACTTTCTGGCCCTTCAACAAAGCCATGCACAGGACACAGCACCATACAAATTCAGCATCACAACAGATGCTGCAGTATAAAAGTAGTACTTTTTTTGGCTAAGACATTAAAAGCCTGTTAAAGAAACCTGTTAAAGAAACAGCTGATAAGATTCTGATACACACGCAGAGCAAACAAGGGTGCAAATATTCTCTCAGATTTCCAAAAGAGGTTCTAGGTCACATCCCTCCATTGCATCTTCAAAAAACAACAAAAAAAAAGAGCTGCCAAGATTCAAGCCTGCAGCTCACCCTATCTAGGCACTCTTTACCCTACACTAAGCCAAACCTGCAGCTCATCAGGACCACTAGATTGTGACGCTGAGCAGAGCAGACTGAAAATCCCGCTGCAGCTCGGCGGGAACCAGCTAAATCTTTAACATCAGGTGACCGACGCAGGCGTGACACAACGCACCCATGTTACGTTGACGGTGAATTCAACCACCGCGCGACGCCTTGGCCTCTTGGGGTTTCAGCATGCCCCACGTGCCGATACTGACAGGTTGTAACTGTTTTCCTGGAATTCAAACAGGGGAAAATGCAAGGATTTCTCACCCTTTCAAAGGCAGCTCCCTACCCCAAAGAGGGACATCTACCAGTGCCTCTTTCCAAAGCCGTCAACCTCCAAAGAGCTGACGATGGCGGCACTGCTACCACAGCCCTTATGCACGGCATTAACACCCCGTGGGGAAGAGCTCTCACAGCCACGTCTGTTTGCAGACATGGGCATTTTACTGCCTCGAGCTATAGTGACCAGAATTTTCACAGCTACACATGTTTATTTTAAAAACAGTTTACACTCAGCGCAGCAGCCACCGTGCTGCTTGCTTCTGCTCTGTTACTGTCACAGTCCAAGGGACATCAGCCCAAGAACAAGCAGAGCAGGTCTGCACACAGACAAGCTATTAGGTGCAGCTCTTGCCTTAAGGAAAAGCAAAGATCCAAGGAGGAACTGTCCCTTATGGACATACCACACCCAAAGCTGAGCAAGAGCGCCACAGCATGTGTATGAGCCCACAAAGCCCAGCTCTAAGCAAGGAATAACCCCGTTCTCTCGGTCTTCCAAAAAGTTCTTACGTCCGTACCAGGTCTCCTCTTCTCCCTTTGTCACACCCACAAGAAAGCAGCCTTGCTTGAATATATGTCGCATGTCATTCACCCTCATCACTGCTATGCTACTGTGCAGAAAACCTCAGTGGACAGCCACAGGGACAAGATTACCTTCTAACCCTGGAAGCAGTTTCCTCCTCTGTAAGCGGAATGTCAGCGTTGGTCAGTGGAAGAGGAAAGAAGAGGAAGAGGAAAGCGCAAACAAACAACACAGTTCGAACTATTTCTATTTCTTCTCTGGTAGCAGGAAGGAAATGGCTTGTTGTGTCCAATTTGGCAAAGGAGAGAGCTCAAGAAGAGTCCTGACAGCATACTGCTACTGCCTTTGCTGCCAGCACCTCTAAAGAGAGCCTAGGTACTTCACTAACACCGACTCGGACACCTGCTTCTCTTAGGATATGGAGAGAGACCACCAAGCCACCCACATCCCAACACGGCCACACGCATTAAACAATGCAAGGTTGTTCTCTACCTGAATTAAGCTGTGACAGGATCACTTAAGAAAGTGGCAAGGAAGCGTTTTCCAGAGTCCCTTTGTGAACTCTTCAAATCATAACATACCTGTCCAGGTAGTTGACAATGTTGGGGTTTTTGTTTTCCCTCATCACAAGGATTTCATTAATAATCAGTTCTTTTTTGGGCTGCTGCTGCAAATTCATCTGTTTGATTGCAACCTGCAGTGAAGAAAAAACGAGTAAAGCATTATTACAGGAGTTCCTCAGAAACTTGCCAGTACCAGTGTCGATAATTTCAGTCCCACATTCAAATGAAGCGGGAAAACACTTTTTCCTCATAGTTTCCTCAGCCATTTAGTAACTCTGTGAGTCCCTGCAGCCAGTCCACACAGGAGGAAGTTCTTTACAGCGAGGGACACCAGAGCAGGTTGCCCAGAGAAGCTGTGGCTGCCCCCTCCCTGGCAGTGCTCAAGGTCAGGTTGGATGGGGCTGGGAGCAACCTGGTCTGGTGGAAGGTGTCCCTGCCCATGGCAGGGGGGTTGGACTGGACGGTCTTTAAGGTCCCTTCCAACCCAAACCGTTCTGTGATTCAGGAACTGGAAAAGGCAGTGAAGGAGTTTCAGCAAAAAGCACAATTACAGAATTCACTGGTGGATAACCCTGACACTGTAGAAATGCAAAGTAGATACGCATTGCTGCAGACTTCCATAAATATATTTGGAATAATGCATACACTTTCCTTTTTAAAAATCCTCCATCTAGCAATAATGGTTTCCACAGATGCTGCATATCCATCACTACTAGTTTATTATGCATGCATGCAATATGCAGGGCACTTTTCAATATTCGGGAGGGGGGAAAAAACCCAAACCAGACAGACATTCCTTGTCTCTCAGTTCAAGGCCAGAAAGCAAGTGAGCACTATGCAAGTCAACTAGTATACAAGTGTAGGAAGCAAAGGAGCAGAGGGCATATAAAAGAGTTTAAATGGGGACAGGCAGGAACGTTGAGGACGAAGAGATAAGCTTCTACTGAGGAACTACTCAGTCCGAACATTTGCTTCTAGCCTTTGTGGTCACAGAAAGATTCTTTAGAAATACAAAATGATTCAGGAATCAGCACGTGGGAAATAATTTTTTCCAGTTCTCTGCTCAGACCACCCGACCAAGCCTCATTAGTAAGGAAATAAATACCCCATTAAAAATGAGATGTCATGAACCCTTGAAAGACCGTCTTTATTCTGTAGCATCAACTTGACCTTTTAGGACATAATCCAAAATCCACTGCTGTCTTATTCTGGTAGCACTTACCTCCTGTCCTGTAGCTACATCCATTGCCGTGTAAACTGTACCAGAAGCTCTAAACAAAAGAGAGAAAAGGAAAAAAATAAAAAACCAAACCACCTATTGGTGCCTCATAGCAAGACTGAGCGCTTAACATACGCCCCTTCCCACTTGTCTCTTTGAAGTGCACTCAGTCCCATTCCTTTTCATGCAATAATTCCAGTGGTACATATCATCTGAAATATTCCTCAGCCAAGACTGCTGTTGGAGCAGCAGCCAGAGAATTTATGGGGAACAAAGCTCCTAATAAGGGACACTACGGTCATCCAAACCCTTGCTGCAACGTAGCACAGCTTGTAGGACCGTGACTTGACTCCATTTAAACTGGCATGACTGCACTGCCCTGGCTTGCAGACTGCCCAACGTGATTACAGAGCACATAGGATCAGCTAAAGTAAACAAGTGTGGCATTTGTAGTGAGGGAAACGGGAGTCTGAGCCTCAGCACATGGAGCTGACAGCAGATCTCAGTGATTTGCACTGATCTGCCTCACTACAGCCTCTCCCACAACTCCTACTTTCCCCCTACCCTGCTAAGAGGTGCACAACACCCACGCCGAGGAGAGCTGTAATTTGAAGATTGTCTTGCATGCTGAAAATAAGCAGTTCCTTCCCTGCTTGCAGCTATATTTAGCAACCTGATCATCTAATGACATATTTTCTTATATTAAAACACAATCACACGAAAAACCCCAGTCACTGTGACTCAAGGCTTTACCAGGAAAGGGAGAGGAGCTGGTGGGAGCTGGAACCCACCAAAACAACCCAAAAAAAAAACCCCAAAACAAAAAACCAACCAAACAGAATTAATTCTCCAAAGCATCACCAACAGCTTTTCCAGCAAACTAACTTCGCCTGGCCTCAGTGCTTTCTTCTTAGCATAAGGAAAGGTACAGGGCAGAGAAGGAACGTATACTAACCCTTGTCCAATCTTCTCAAAACACGTGTACTTCTTTTTTGGATCGCCCACACTCACAATACTTCCTACAAAAAAAAAAAAAAAAGAAAAAAAACCCACAAGAGGATTTTAGAAGTACTTTTTTGTAGAGCTACAAGAACCAACTGTACTTTAAAGCAGCCCCACAGCCACAGCAGCCTCCGCCGAGCCTCGTGAACCACTTGTCAGAAATCCAGAGGCGCACGAGCACCGAGGGAGCCCTCAGTTATTTACACACGTACCAGCTGCGCACCCCCATCCCACAGGTACTCCCCTTCAGACATGGTGCAACACAGACGTTCAGCACATTTAAGCTTCGCTGGCAGCTGGTAACTGCACACTGCTGGGCACAGAGCGGGGAGACACGGCCCTCACCCATGTAAATACAATTATTTGCTGGAAACGTGCTAATTAAAGTCACCTCCTGCTTCAACACAGCAGACTAAGATGCTCCTGCACTGCAACGTCCTCTGAATTTGGAGGCCAGGGCTTCATTCATCTTAGAG